GTTGCGGCCCCTCCCGCTGCGGAGCACAGGCTCCGGACGCGCAGGCCCAGCGGCCATGGCTCACGGGCCCAGCCACTCCGCGGCACGTGGGATCCTCCCGGACCGGGGCACGAACCCACCTCCCCTGCATTGGCAGGCGGACTCCCAACCACTGCGCCACCAGGGAAGCCCTATTGCTTCCGTTTTATGTTTTGGTTTTTTGGCCATGAGGCATGTGGGATCTTAGCTCCCTGACCAGGGATTGAACCCACACCCCCTGCATTGGAAGGCGAAGTCTTAACCACTGGACCGCCAGGGAAGTCCCCAGAGGTGCTTTTAAATACACATCACTCAGCATCTCAACACACTGGAAATGGCAAGTATCACTTACACGGCAAATTACTTTGGGAATGTGTTGATCTTAAAATTAAACAAAAACATGCAAACTCTTAAACAAAACGCATACTGAGCCTGGGAGTTTTGAAAACATAATAGGTTCACTGATCTAATAGCCTAATTCAGTGGTTTTCAAAAATTTCAGACCCACTAACAGAACTTTATTAAACATGGGGATGCTCAGGCTCCACCTTAAACAAGATGACCCTGTTGTTTTCAGCTTAGCACTGTGCCTGTCTCTCTGCTCTTGACCTCAATTTCAAGGATCTAAGAATCGATGAATCATCTCCAAGAGCCTTCTCTTTCACTACTGAAATTAATATCAGATCTGCACTGATGAGGTGAACAAATTGAAAAAAACTCAGCATCAACTTGAAAGGAACCTGGTCATCCAAAATGGGTACTATACCATCCAAGGTAGATTTTGGCAGCAGTATATTCAGGGAAATGAAGTCATTCATGGTTTCCTTCAGGATCCCAGATGTGACTGGGACATACACTGACATATACTGATTGATAAGTTAGGGCTGTCTACATTTTGTCTTTGCAAGCAAGAAGGTTTTGTGGTCAGTGGAAATCTTTCCCTTGGCCTAGCTTTTAAATCTGTTTCAAATAAAAATATTCATTAAAAGAACAACAAGCAAACACCACAAATTTCAGACATCTTGAGTACGTTACCGTTGAGGAGACTCTTTTGCAGTTGAGGAGAATATTAACATTATTCTGGAGGTGGCTTAGCATTCATGCTTCTGCTTATGGTTGGGGTAAACCTGATTTCAGCCCTGACATATACTGGGAAGTTACTCTTCCCAGCAAAACAGGCAGAATAGAGCCCTAGTGGACATAACTGGCTCTACTCCAACTTCTGTCCACGCTCTATAGTTTCCAGTCTGTGTCCAGGGTAGAGAATGTGATACAGGTCTGGTCAGTCAGAATACTCTCTCCTCCTAGACACTGTGATTGGTGTGTAACCAAGGATAGGTGTGTAACCCAAGCTGGGCTAATCACAATCATTCCTGACACTTTTGATAGTGCTATTGAGAAAGAGGTACTCTCAACAGCCATCTTTGCCTTATGTGAAAAAAGTCTTCCTTAGATTAAAGCCAACATAAAAGAAAGCAAAGCACCAGAAGGACAAAGACAGACTCCCAATGACATCAACTGGACCCCAGGATCCAACTTGGACTTCTCAATTTCTCGAGCCCATAGATTCCTTTTTGGGTTTGAGCCAGACTAAATCATATGTAAGTCCCTCCATACTGAGAGATGGTTATCCAAGAGACAGACACAGAGGCAGCTGAGTCATCATATAAAGAGAAAAGCCATTCTTGGGATAATAAAGAAAGAAAACAACATTTTGCAAGAAAGCAAACTAGGCACTTTCCTGGTGGCACTGTGGTTAAGAATCCGCCTGCCAATTTAGGGGGCACGGGTTCGAGCCCTGGTCCAGGAAGATCCCACATGCTGTGGAGCAATTCAGCCCGTATGCTGCAACTACTGAGCCTGTGCTCTAGAGCCTACAAGCCACAACTACTGAAGGTCGTATGCCTAGAGCCCGTGCTCCGCAACAAGAGAAGCCACCACAATGTGAACCACACGCACCTAAACGAAGAGCAGCCCCCGCTCACTGCAATTAGACAAAGCCCGCACGCAGCAACAGAGACCCAACGCAGCCAAAAATAAATAAATTAAATAAAATAAATAAATTTATATTAAAAAAAGAAAGCAAACGAACATTGAGCATTTTGCAGAGCACAGTGGAGAGAAGCAGAACCACTGAAGAACAAATTAAACTTTAAGCTAGCTCATGGGCACAGACTAAGACTTATACACACAGAGCCATTAAACCATGATAGCAGAAAACAGCTCAGTTCCTGGGACAGGGACACATGGGACACATACAAGATTAGCAGATCTAGCAATCAATTCATAAAACAAAGAGAGTTTTCTTGAACACACCTGGTTAAGAATCCTCTGTGGCACCTTCAAGGTGAAAGAGATGGAGATTTTTGTAAGAACTACCTGGCTACCCAAAACGGTTTGTTAAATATATTAATGCGTAAGTGTTCTCTCTGGTAAATTGCAGAGGATTTCCATTTCAGGGGGTGGGCTCAGTTAATTATCAACAAATCCACTTTAATTTTACAAAGTTTTGGTTTAAAATGCTCCTCTGGAGTGTAAAATGCTCCATATACTTCAATGTATGGCAACTTAGTGGATCTTGGCTTCTCCACCAAGATTCTGGCACCTAGATTGGGTAGAACTGTTACTTTCAGGTGCTTATTTCTGACTACATGTGATGTTTGCAAGTCCTTCACGGAAGCAGTTTCCAAATGCTCACTTAAGGACCTGCAACAGCAGAGTCACTAGAGTCTTAGCTAAAAATATCGACTGCAGGGCTCCACTCCAGACCTTTGAGATCAGAATCTTTGGGAGTGAGGTCAAGTCTCTATATTTTCAAGATACTCCCCAGTATATTCTTATTTATGTACCTCCAGTGCTGGGAGCTGCTGGATGGAACATATGGTCTAATGGCTTTGAAAAGGAAGGGAAAGAAAGGTGTCTATTCCTGAAATTTTCTCAGCAAAACTTGCAGATGTCCAAAAGCCTAATTCAGAACAAAGCATAATTCAAGGACAGTATCTGATTAACATATATGCCTGGTCAAGGAGATCTAACATGGCAATTGGTTTATGACTGAAACATCCCCTTCCCACCCACTTCCAATTTCCCTACATGCTGGAAATACTACAGGTATGAAAAAAGAAATACACCTTAAAATTCATACCTACCTTCTGAGATGAGCAATCCATGTCACTCATGTTCTCCATTCTAACTGGACCTATAAAAATATTTAAAAAAAGGAACAAAGAGCTCTCAATTTCTTCCTCTCCTATCAGTGGCTCTGAAATTCCTTATAGCATAATGGGGATGACACAGATTATGGAACTTTCCAGATGTTCTGAAAGCTCTGTTCACAGGGCTGCCTCTCCGAGGTCATGGACTTCAGCCCCCTGAGGAGTTTCCAGGTAGAAGAGGAGAGAAAGGGAAGCTAGAGAATGAAGGAGCAGCCTTGGGGCTCTGCTGGGCTCTGCGCTGCAGCTTCCCTGTGATGGCTGCTCTTCCCTTCCCCTGAGCAGCACCTCCCATGGAACTTTTCCAGGAATACACCGACTTCACTGTAGAGGAAAAACTGAAGCAGACTTACATACTAACACAGAGAAGAGGGAGGAAGCACCCCACCAAACATTCCCCCTGGCAGCCTGAACTCTTCTCTCTCCTCCTCTCGGGTGATTTTTAACACTGGAGGAGCTTGTACCCAGGTCCTGGGGCCAGTCACAAGGCTTCAGTGTCTGTTGCTAGGGAAGGAGGGGCCTCTCTTGTGCCCAGATACAAGACTGGTCTTGACTCAGCTTTGCGTCCAAGTCTCTCCCTTTGCTGTAGGCCAGCTGTCCAGCAGGAAGTTTCGGTGACAGGAGGGAAGGTGGGAAAGTGTTTAGCAATGATCCAGGAGGTGAATGGCAACAAGAGGTTGTGCCTTTGGAGGGGCCTAAATGCACACAGAGTGGTGGTTAAATTCTTGGGCCCTAGAGTCAGACAGGTCTGGGTTCAGATCCTGCCCTTCCCATTTAATTAGCTATGTGGCTTGAGCAAATTGCTTAATCTCTCCAAGTGTCCTTTACAATGTAAAATGCCAACAATGTGACAACCTACCTCATAGGTGGGCTTGAGAGTTAATGAGATAATACCTGTAAAGCAACCTGCACATAGTAGAAGGATGACCAACTTGTCCCAGTTTCCTGGGACTTTCTGGGTTTTAATACTGCAAGTCCTGCACCCTGAGAACTCCCTCAGTCCTGGGCAAACTGAGACAGCTTGGTCACTCAACACAGTAGGCACTCTACAAGTGTGGCTAACATCATTCTCATGATAAACACAGGAACACATGCACACGTATGCTCACACACACAAGATACAATTAGCTGCTGCCCAGACATTCAAAGCACACGTTAAGTGGTCACTTTCAAAATTTTCTCAAAATCAAGTTAGACTTATTGAGCTCTTTTTGGGAGACAGGCTTCTATATATATATATGTATGTTTTGTCATTCAATTTTTCCCCAAACTCCATGATGTTGCCATTTTATGACTGACGAAACCAAAACTGAGAAAGAAACATAATTTTCCTAAACTGCCAGGACTTCTAAGTAGTGCTGATACAATGTGAACCCTGTCCTTATGACTCCAGAGTCCAGTGTTCTTTCCATAAAGTACCTGCCCATAAAACAAACATTTCTGAGATCTTACGATGAGCAATCCATAGTACCAAGTACTTCCAGTTCTCCTTTTTCTTACTTTTCCCTCAAAGTTTGGCTTTCCATACCTTCAAAATAACCTTGAGGCTCCTCATTCCTTACATTTGCACTCTCTACCATAAGGTATATATACAGTTTCAAATAGTGTTTGGAATAAATGAGCCAGTGACAGGGTTTGAGACTTTACACGGAAATGGGGTTATTACCAGGCCTCCTATAATAGGATATGAAACCCCATGTCCCACAAAAACCCCAGCAACTGTAACCCAACAAAGTAAAGAACTTTAGAAGGGGCCTGGTAGGGTGCCCATGAGCCCCGTGACCTTGTGGGTGAGTAGGAGACACACCTCCCTTTAAAATTTTGTGTGCTTTAAGTCCACCTGTGTCCAAAAACATCAAAGCAATAATTACAGCTTTCATTTATTGATGTATATTAGCTGTTGGCACTGTGGTAAGCACTTAATGAGCAGCATCTTTCCAAATCTTCTCAATGATGGAGAAGATGAATACAACTATCCCAAGTTTTATGACTGAGGAAACTGAGAAACAGAGAGGTTAAGTAATTTGCCCATAGTCACTCAGCTAGGTCAGTGGCAAAGTTAGAACTTCACCTGATTATGGAATCTGCTCCATGGCTTTAACCAAAAGCCTACATGTAGTCTGAAAAAGATAGAAAATAAAAAAATATCTGCCAAAGAGAATGAAAATTCCATCATCTCCCCTCTGCCCCAGGCCACCTCACTGGCACCAGAATTGCTTGCTGACTTAATCTTCTGTTCAGCAATTTCCAAGTGAGGGTGCAGGCCTCAAATCCCTTAATCAACTTCAAGTACATAGGGTTGCCAGATAAAACACAGGATGCCCAGACATACTTATACTAAAAAGTTATCTGTTGCTCACCTGAAATTCAAATTGAACTGGTTGTCCTGTATTTTGATTTGCTAAATCTGGCAATATGGGGAGAAAAGGTCAGCTAGCCTCTAGGTTATCCTCATCTTTGTGGTGTTAACAGCTTAGAGTCTCAATCTGTTGCTGGAAATTTTCACACATTTGTAATTCAGAGCCCAGTGTTTCTGGCAGATCTTTTCTGAGGCTTGAAACAGTTGCTTATCCAGGGACTTATTTTATTGACCCATCCAATGGTCAGCAAGAGCCAAGTCCTTGTGCTACTGAGAGATGCTAAGATTCCCACCGTTGGATAATATATAGTGTGGTAGAGAGAGAAGGCAGCCAACGCACAAGGAAACGCAAAACCTGGCTGGCCCTACAAAAATGCAAGTGAAAGGAACTAGAAGATTCACAGAGGTTCCCCTAGATGGCACCCTTGAACAAAATTTCCAGCGAAGGCCTCAATTAAGCTTCCCAAAGCAACACCCACCAGGGAAGGAGGGTTGCAGTTTTGTCCTAAAGAAAAAACCCCTCCAAACCCAAACAATAACCAACCCTTTCCTGGATGGGGCACCCATCACACTGCAGCTGAACAGAAGGCATGAAACCAGACAGGACTGCCTGAAACGTAAAAATTTAGGGACACTTTTCCATCCATGTCCTCCTATCTTCACCATTAGCTCCCCTCTTCTTGGCTCTTGTGGAGTTAGAGCAGGATCCCTTAGCTTATTATTATTATCCCCAAGCTTATTTCTCTATCCACCAGCCTGATTATTTCTAGAAATATTAGTTGGTAGAAGTAATACATCATTGGTGGGTGGGCAAAATCAGTGAAAGAAGTCAAAATAAAACTGTATCGCATATTTGAAAGTTGCTAAGAGAGCAAATCTTAAATGTTCTCGTCACAAGAAAAAAAACTCTGTCACTGTGTATGGTGACAGATGTTAACTAGGCTTATTGTGGTGATTATTTTGCAATATACACAAATATCAAATCATTACGTTGCACAGCTGAAGCTAATATATGTTAACTATACTGCAATATAAAAATAAACAAAAAAGGGCTTCCGTGGTGGCGCAGTCGTTGACAGTCTGCCTAACGATGCAGGGGACACGGGTTCGTGCCCTGGTACGGGAAGATCCCACATGCCACGGAGCAGCTGGGCCTGCGCGTCCGGAGCCTGTGCTCCGCAACAGGAGAGGCCACAACAGTGAGAGGCCCACGTACCACAAAAAAAATAATAAAAAAGAAAAATAAACCAAGTAACCATGATAAGACACAGAAAAAGAAAAGCACAATACGTTAAATACTTTTGAGCTCCTCCTATGTTCCCGATAGGTGCTAACTTCTTTACAGCCATTATTGCACCAGTCCTCACTACAATCCTGTGATTGCTTTGATCTTTCCTAAAGTTATTTTTCAGGTGCCTATGGATACAAGTCACAGAGGAGAGACAGATCAACAAAGGTCCCTGGATGGAAAGGGCATGAGAAATGTGCAGTAGCAGGCCAATTCTCAAGTCTAACCCTCTCCATTTTACAGATAATGCTGAAGCTCAGCGAGCTTAACTCATCCACACAGTAAGACTCTGCCCTGGGATCAGATTCCAGGCCTGTTGGACCTCGGTTCATGGTCTTTACGAGTATGTTCTATGGCAGTTGTTCTCAACCTAGGCAACTGTGCCCCCCAGGGGACATCTGCCAATGTTTGGGGGTCTGCAGGGAAGGAAAGTACTACTGGCATCTAGTGGTTGGAGGCCAGGGATGCTGCTAAACATCCTACAATACACAGGACAGCCCGCTCAACACGGAATTTTCCTGCCCAACATGTCAATAGCGCTGCCCCTTGAGAAACCCTGCCGTATGGGCTGGATTTCAGGCCAAGGAACATGTGTTCTGGCTCTGACTTGAAACTGAAGGATTTGGGATTAGACTTTTTCATCTATAAAATGGAGATACTAATCGAACTGACCTTTAGGGATCTCACTGGCTCACGATATCTGCGTTTGAGAAGTAATGGTTAAAACCTTCCAGTCAAGGTCGTACCTCATCACTTGCCTGTCCTGAGCTCCAGAGATGCTTCCAGAAGAGCTGGTTCAGGGTATTTAGGCAGGGGAAGCCCTGAGACCCTGGGAAAAACCGTTCTCAGCTGCCAGTCCACCTGTCTCAGAGATGGCCTGGGCGCCCTCACTCCAAGCCAAGAGCGTAGGAAGGGCAACTCTCTCTGAGCTTCAGTTTCCTCACGTGCTCCTCACTCGTGCCTTGTCCGGGAGGCTCCAAAAAGCTGAGGGAGACAGCGTCCTTTGCAAGAGCTGCAGGCGGGGAGAGCCAAGCGAAGGGGAAGGGAGGGGGGGAGGGACGGCGCGGGGCCGCGCGGCGGAGGAAGACTGCTGGCGGGGGTGGAGTGAGAAGGCCGGCTCCCGCTTCAGAGCCGCCGCTTGGGCGTGTCTCCTCCAGCCGCCCGCACGCGCAGCTCGGCCTGCAGCGCGGCCTGCAGCGCGGCCGCCGGGACCAGGTGAGAGCTGGCAGCTTGGGCGCAGGGGACCCGGCTGGCTAGACACCCCCCTCGCCGGGTGGGACAAATTTTGAAGGAGGGCGGGGCGGTCGCTTGAGAGGATAG